GCAACAACATGGATGGAGCTAGAGGGTATTATGTTCAGTGAAATAAGCCAGGTGGAGAAAGACAAGTACCAAATGATTTCACTCATCTGTGGAACATAAGAACAAAGCAAAAACTGAAGGAACAAAACAGCAGCAGATTCCGAGAACCCAAGAATGGACTAAGAGTTACCAAAGAGAAAGGGACTGAGGAGGGTGGGTAGGAAGGGAGGGAGAAGGGGAATAAGGGGCATTACAATTGGCAAATGTAACATTTAGGGGGGCACAGGGAAGGCAGTATAGCACAGGGAAGACAAGTAGTGACTCTACAGCATCTTACTACACTGATGGACAGTGACTGTAATGGGGTTTGTGGGATGACTTGATAATGGGGAGAATCTAGTAACTACAAGGTTGCTCATGTGATTGTATATTGATGCCAAAAAATAAAATCAGACTTGACAAACTAACAACTGCAAAAGTAGGTTTAGAGCTAGAATTGACTCATATTTTTCCTTGAAGGTAAACATGTTATAAAAATCCTATTACTTTTTCACTATCTTAAAATATTTGGACAAATATACTGCTCTCAATTTAACTTCACACTTTAATATATTGGACACTTGGAAGCATCTGCAGAAAGCATATTGCACAATTCAAAAGAGGTAAGATTAATACTTAATTGTAGTGAAATTTCTCTTTTTTAACACCCTACCCTACTTATTGTCTAGTAACTAAATTCTGACAAGGAGTATTTATTTTAAAAAATATTCAGAAGGTCCCAAATAAGTTTAGCAGAAGGTTAAAAAATAGATAGTGGATACTGGTGCCTACACAGGGCTGGTAATAGCAGGTAGAAAGGTGCACACGTGCACATGCTGACCGGCAGTGTGAACACATCAGAAAACCACGAGAGAGTTCCCAAGGGCTAAGAGGGAAAGATGCTAAAGAGGTTTAGCTTCCCAAGAATGTAAATACAGATAACAACATCTAGAAAAAGTAGAGTAAATTCAAAATTTTTTGAATCACCTAAGGTTGAATGACCTTAAACTATGACTTGCAATTCATGAGGGAAAAAAATCAAAACTTTTATTACTATTAAGAAAAAATATATATATATACTGCGTAGAAACAGCCTTACGCAATACTCATTATAAAGGAAGATCGTGAACTCCAAGGTGAGTTCCAATGAAAATAAATCAGTTTTGTCTGAGAATAAAAATGACCCTGTTCAGTGTTAACTTTAAAAGCTCAAACAGCCACAATTAGGAGCCCTAAATATCAGAACATCTTTCCCATTGGCACTAAACACTGTAGACAGCCAGGAATGATGTAGGCTAGGTAGGGCTACCTGCTCTTCATCAGGGACTAACCCTCCAGCAGAATTTGACACCTCCACCTCACCACTGCAGCCACTCCCCCATTCCTTTATTTTGCAAGTGCCAGTTACACTCCTAGTTTTTACTCTGAAAAAAAATTACAGGAGACCTTATATGGCATTCCTGAACCCAGGCCACCTTCCAGCCTGTCTGCTTGCGTTCTTGATCTCAAGTGTCATCTCCATCAGTGAATGTGAGAAGTGAATCAGGATGTAGCAGCAAGCTTCCCTGCACTATTATGTTCCTCCTTCCAATTCTAATCCAGTGTGGCTGATCATGAACAATGCGAAGACAGTAGACTGTAAGTAGATGCTCCCTCAAACCATACTTAAGGTCTTTTTTTTTTTTTCATGAGCTTTCAACCCATATCCCCAGCTGCCTAGTGGGAATATCCATCTAGAAGCACTAAAGCTAAGAGAGAAGTATTAATTCACCTTCCTACACCTCCTCCCCAAATGGCACTGCTAGCTGTCCCTTGATCTCCACTCTTCCTTTTCAGTGGGGCATACAGTTGGGCTAGATTTCCCAGCCACCCTTGCAGCTGGATGTGGTCATGTGACTAGGTGCTAGCCAGTGGAAATGTGGGGAACTGAAATGTAAAATTCGGATGGTCCTTAGAGGAAAGTGATTTGCCCTCCTACCTCACTTTACTCCTTTATTTTACTTGGCCTGATGACGTAAATGCAAGGCAATCTTGGACCACAAATGTTAAGTGACATCCTGTCTCCCATCACAGTCCCTAAAACCATGAGGTCAAGCGGGTCTGGACCAATGGGAGCCACCCAGGCCCTACTTATAGGCACAAGAACAAAAGAGGGAATTCTTTAGCCGGCTTAAGCCATTTGTATTCTGAGTTTCTGTAATGTGTATCGAACCTATATCCTAACTAGTACACTTCAAGTGTGTTTGCCTTCAGAGGTCAAGACTGATGATTCCCAAACATGGCTGTGCCCATCAATCCACCTTGTACTTTTAACTTATTGATACATTTAACTTATAGGGGAGGGGTGGGGAGCTGTGGAATCTGTAGTTTTAAGCCCTTCACCCCCATATTCAGGCTATTCTGATGAAGAGTCAGCTGGTCTGGGAGGTTAATGGAGACACAAAGGAGATAACTTGAGATTACTTGTGCATAGTTTCTACCTTGCACATCTCTCAGGAGTCTTAATATCCTAACAAGTCTATACAAGAGATGCCTTGAAGAATCCTTGCTGCTTCTCTCCAGCCCCACAGGAACTTATATCATCACCATTACCCTGACTTTCTCTGAGCCCGTACAGTTCCTTGACCATCTCCCTTCGCAGCACTTGGAACTAAATACTTCTTTGTCAATTTCCTCCCTAGAGTGATGTCCAGCAGCTTTTCAGGTGGGTTAAAGACTGGCAAGAAAAGGCTACAGTATCCATCTGCCAAAAGATCATATTAACTTAGGAATTAAACATCTTATAAATGAGATGCCTATACAGAGCCAGCTGGGACCTCAGGAGAATTTTCCGTGATCTCCCAAGTTTCCGGTGAGTAGTACTGGGCTGCAGCTGCGTGACACCATCTGAGAAGGTAGGATATTGTCTTCATCTGCAAAACTCAATGTTTTGCCTCAGTATTCCCTTGTACACAACTCCAGTTGAAGTCACCGTTCAGGATGAATTTAACACAACTGTAAATGCACTTCCATTTAAGGGACTCGTTATAAACATCCATTTCTCCTAGTTGACCAAATTCGCATTAATAAGGTCAAATTCCCAATGGGGGAAAGTCTACCATGAGTCCTGGTCATGCTCTCTGCCTACAGCTTTCTAGCTTTCCAGAGGTGTAATTTCTACACAGAAGTGAATGTGTCCCATTTATCTGTATGTCCCCTCAATTAGAGCTTGGCACTCAAATGTTTGCTAAATAAGTGAACTAGTCATTGCAAAAAGCCAACTTAGTATTCTTCTTGCCACCATTATCTTCCTGCATTTCTGGAGTTTCTTTCCTCAGCCTCCCTAGTGTACTTCCTTCCCTTGATTGCCCATCTCCATGATCTTCCTGATGTTGAATGTCAGGAAAAAGTCAAACTCCTCACTCTGATATATACAAGAGCCTTCACACATGGTAGCCTGTCTTTCAGGCCTTCTGTTACAAGCCCTGTCCTCCAGGCCAAATGGTGCTGGCTCCTCCTGGCCCTCCTACATCTCCTTGACTCTGCCCATGCTGTTCTTTAAGATTCTCCGCACAACCATAACAGCCCACTCTTTTCCTTGATAACTACTACTCACCCTTTAAGACTCAGATCAAATGTCATGTCCTCTGTGTGAAGTTTAAAATTCTCAAGCAAACTAAGTTGCTCTCCACTGGGCTTCCAAGGCATTTTGCTCCTAAATCTAACACATTAAACAAATATTTGCTAAATGCTTACACAGCCCTTACCACAGGAATTTAGCCCCTTAGTGTCTAGACTTCCCATGAGACCACACTATGTAGGTAGTGACTGTAACTGATTCATCTTTCCATCACCAGTGCCTGGCATCATACCTATCACTTACTAGGTATTTACCTAGCAGCTAGCTGAATATCTACACCAATGAAGCAGCAGATTGGAAACAGCTCCCCTTGTAAGGGGAGCCTGAAGATGGGCCACCTCACCACTATCCTCATCTGTATAACAAAGTTGAACTAGATAACCTCTTAAATTCATAACAACCCTTAAGTTTTACTAGACAATGGGAGGTGGGTCTGGCTGACTGCCAAGTCAGTGAGCCAAATGTGAATCCTCAATCAGCAGAAACAGAAGACAGCTTTATGGGGGATGCCCATTTTGGGGTAGTTGTCTTTTCTCTGAAATAAGAGCCAACTTTCTGAAATTACACCCCACATGCTAAACTAATTGCACACAACTGATTGCCCTCTCATCAGGCCTCTGCAGATGGAAGCAGCACTTCAGTTGTGCTCCAGAACCCAGGTCCCCAGTTAACTCTGAACCTCACTGTATGGCTCACACCATTCAGATTGGCTCCTGAGACCTGTGGCTTCAGTGAGGGAAAAGTAGGGGAAGCAGGATAGAAAATGGTGAAAACACGAAGCTGCCTCATACACAGCTTATCCAAGAACGTACAGAACTGCAACTCAGAACAAATTCAAACCAACACACGTGAATACAGTGTACAAGCAGCCACAACTGAATGGAGAAAGGAGAAATCATTAGCCAAGACAGTGCACCAGGCTTATGTAATTCTCTGATAATTTACAGATTCTCATTTTCTAGCGTGCACCTCTCATTCTCCTTTGTCTCTCCAAAATCTAGCAGAGCGGCAGCATTCAATAACTCGTTTAATCTCTACAAAAACCCAACGGGTGACTTCGGTATCTCCACTTGAGCACAGGAGGGAACCGAGGCTCTGATACTGGATTTGCGCCCAGCCTCATTAAGTCGGAGGTGTGATCTACACCCAGGACGGCTATCGAAGCCAGCTCTCTGACCGCCACCGGGAGCCCTTCGCCGGGCCCTGCCTCCCGGTCTCAGGCGTCGGCATCACCCGAGCTCCTGGTCGCACTACCTGGAGCACACAGTCCGACTGCAGCAGACAGGCGCCCAGGTCCTCCTTCACGCCCGTGCACGCGCCGCCCTCCGGCTTGTCCTCGTAATACCGGGGCATGGCGACGCCGCCAGCTCGCCGTCGGCCCAACCCGCTTCCGCTCACAACGGCTGCCCGCCCGGCGGGAGCGAGGGACGTCCGACACAGAAGAGACCGGAAACCGGCAGCCCCAACTTCCGGCGGGCCACAGCGGACTACACTAACCGAGAGGCCGTGCGCGCGGCGGAAGTGGGCGCACGTGACGTCGCGCCCGGAGCGCCGGGTACGTAGCGGGAGGGCAAGTTGGCCTGGCGGCTGCTGGGCCCGGCTCAGCTGCCGGGAGGAGGCGGCAAGCTAGACAGGACCCGGGTGGAGGCACAGCGGGGCTCAAGGTGAGGCCTCCGCTCCGGCTTGCCCGCGTGCTATTTCCTCCGGCAACTCTCGGCTCAGCGTCACTCGGACCCCGAGGGGCCACACCTGGGTCCGGCTGTCCGGCCTGCGGCAGGGTTGCCAGTTAAGACGCCCAGTTCCGGCTGAATTTCAGATAAACAACAGTGTTGTAGTATGTCCCGCGCAGTGTTTCGGACGTGCGTATACTAGAAGTTATTCCTGCATCCGAGATTCAAGTGTAACGGGGCGTCCTCCTGTGTGTTAATCTGCGAAGTCTGGCAGCCCTGCCCGCGGCTCCGGGCTGGCGGGGAGCAGCTGGGCCGGTCGGGCGCAGCGGGCGTCGCGGAGGCCTGGGAAGTAGAGCCCGAGATTGGGCTCCGGGCGCCGAGGCCGGACGGTGACCTGCGCTCACCTGGCTTCACACTGGTGGGACCGGACTCCCACGTGTCATTTTCCTTGCTGACCTATTAGGGAGCAAAACAGTATAAATCTGAGTTTTGTCTTTAGATCACACTGTAGTGGACGAGTTGCTTGTGGGTCAGGTGCTGATGGACCTCTGTGAAGAGGCCCTTTATTTTACCCCATCGGAGACATTGTGATTGGCTTAAACAAGAGCTTTCCCCTAAAGGCTTGATGGCTTAAGAGTACAGAATTTTGAGCCAGTGCCTGAGTTCGAATATTGGCTCCACCACTCTCTGTCTACTCATGAGGGGGTTAATTACCTTCCCAGTGCCCACTTCCCCTACTCTGTCTGTCTGTCTCTCAGCAGTAGCTACCTGGGAGGGCTGTCTGAAGATTGAGGGGGGTGAAGTGTGGGAAAGGTATGAACCCTGTGTGTTAACGATGGTTCAAAAGGGCAACCGCCAGTTCTCCAGCTCCAAAACAAGCCTCAGAACCAACTCCATTCATTTTTGACCCCTGGCTCTTCTCAAGGATTGGGGTAGAAATGTAAAGTGCCCTCCCCTCTAAAAAGCTCAGAGGAGGGGTGCTAGTAGCCAACAGTTTGTTCATATTACTTATAAAAGAATGTTTTTCCTTCCATCTAGGAGGATGTTACCTAGTATTTCAATGAATTCCCCAATGCAGGGGAACGGAGTGTTGAATTCCAGGGATGCAGCAAGACACACTGCTGGGGCAAAACGCTACAAGTACCTGCGAAGGCTTTTTCGTTTTCGGCAGATGGACTTTGAGTTTGCTGCCTGGCAGATGCTCTACCTGTTCACTTCCCCTCAGAGGGTTTATAGAAACTTTCATTATCGAAAGCAAACGAAGGATCAGTGGGCCAGAGATGACCCTGCTTTCTTGGTCTTATTAAGTATCTGGCTCTGTGGTAAGTAACAGTTTACCTGCAGTAGAGTTGAAAGCGCAAATTGTTTCAGATTGGACTTGTCATTTGGAGAATCTTTTGTTAGAAACGTGTTGTGCGTCAGAATTTGGGGATATTTGAAACTGTTTCTTCCTTTCTGAAGTCTCAAAAATCTCATAGAAAAGAAGACTGTATTCCTGGTTCTAAAGGTCCCAGGCAGAGTAAGGTGCTACCAGGGAACTTTGAAAAGGAGAGGACAGAGTCATTCCATGTCTTTTAACTACAATGATAAGTAAACTGCTACCCAAATGCAAACTTACTGTGAAAAGGAATATCAGGATTGGAAATTGCATTTCACAGTCAGACAAATCCAGAGTGAGAGCTCTGAAAGCACTAATGTGAACTTCAGAAACCACTTTTAAATTCTCCAAGTGTAGTGAAAGGGTACTAAACTACCTTTAGGGTGTTGAAATGTCTTAAGATTTTTTTCACCTTTGTTGAACTTAAATATGTGAGTGCCTTTTCAGTAATGGTGGTATTCTAAGTGCTGGGCCTACCTGGAGAACCACAGACGAGACAGGGGCCTCCTCAATAAACTTAAAATGTCTCAGTTGTCATTCTGTGTTCTGAATGGTTTACATCTCTTAATTACATACAACACATCTTTGGGGTTTTGTTTACATGATGGAATCACCCACTCAACTGTGGGCATCTGAACTGTGCCCCATATCCCCAGAACCTAGCAAAATGTCTGAATGATCTTGAATGAATCTTCCTTTCAGTGTCCACTATAGGATTTGGCTTTGTGCTGGACATGGGATTTTTTGAGACGATGAAGCTTCTTCTTTGGGTTGTATTCATAGATTGCATAGGTGTTGGTCTTCTCATATCAACTTTAATGTGGTAAGTACCATAAGTTTGGTTTTTCAGACACTGCTGTGCAGCCACCATTTGCTTGCTTTAGAGATAGAGTAGCTGATAGAAACTGAGACAAGATAAATAAACTGAAAGCATAAATTTTGTCTGCCAAGATTATTATAACTTGTCCTTCTGTGTTGGTACCTGTATCAGAAAGTACTCTGAGGCATGGTCTGTGTTATCAAAGTGCAGCAAATAAGAACTGAAATAATGATTATATCAGACTAACAAAATCTGATTTTGCAAAAATACTCTGCATTTAGCCAATTCTGCTTAAATTGTCTGGATGATGGCATCATTTTTGCTGCATTTGTCAGTGGATCACTTCCAGATGTCTAAGATCTAGAGGGTGATTTCATGGAATGTTACTTTAAGTCTTTGCCATTAAATGAAGTCCACTTGGGAAGGGACTTTTTTGGTTAAACCTGGTGCCTTCCTGCTCTCACACACATCCACACACACACAGGTTTTGTTGAAAGGGGTCTCAGTCTGACTGCAACTTTGTCTGGGTTTGCCTTAACAATGGAAGTGTCCTGAACATAAATGCAGTGTTTGGTTTTTCAGTGTTCTCACAGATACAGTGCTCCTGGGTGGTGGGTAGCATGCTGGGTGAAGGAAATGAGGCAGGTGAGCTCAGTGGTTGAGTAGGGTGGGTGGTTATTGTATATCAGAGAAGACACTATGGGACATTGCAGTCAGAGAGACCTGGTTCAAATGCCAGCTCAGTCATTTACTGTGTAACTCTTAGTCCCAGCCACCTCTTCTGGGAAATGGCATCAAATATCTATTTTGTCAGGTATTTGAGAAGATTGTGGTAGGAAAAGCACCTGCCATATAGTGAGTACTTAATAACTGGTAGCTATTAATAGTTTAAACAAAATTCTGAGACTATAATCTCTGATGGTACCAACCTTTTATTTTCCTTTGTACAGTACAGGCTTTTTATGTACTAGGTAGTAAGTGCTATGCATCATTAATCTAATTCTAAAATCTGGCCTAAAAATAATGCTGCTAACTAATGTAAGTCACATATTCATTATCAAAATATCCATGAAAAACATGGCATATGGAAAAATTTCAATGAGTAAGCCTTTCAAAGCAGTAGTTTAGTTTGTAGCAGTCATTGTGCTGTGCACGCATCAACTCTGGGAGGCCACAGAAACCCATTAATCCTAGAGTATAGTACCGTTAGTATGAGTCTGTGTTACAGCCTGAGTTAAGTAGAAAAGGACTGAGTAGGTATATGTACATTTTTTTGAAGTATACTTGATATACGATATTATAATGGTTTCAGGTGTACAACCATCATGTGATTCAGTACTTGCATGCATTTTGAAATCTTCACCATGATAAGTCTAGTTACCATCTGTCACCAGATAAGGATATTACAGTATGATTGACTGTATTACCTATGCTGTACTTTCCATGACTTATTTTATAATAGGCAGTTTGTACCTCTTTAGCTCCTTCACCTATTTTGCCCATCTACCCCACCCTCCCATGGCAACCACAGTTTGTTCTCCATGTTTATGAGTCTGTTTTGTTTTACTTTTTAGATTCCACTTAAAAGGGAATCATATGATACCTATCTTTCTCTGTCTGACTTACTTAGCATAATACCCTCAAGGTCCATGGTTGCATATGGCAAGATTTCTTTTTTTTTTTAATGGCTGAGTAAATACTCTATTAATGTATATGTATCACAATTTTTGTATACATTCATCTATCATTGGCCAATTACAATTACAAACTCCCAATTATATATATATAATTTTTTTATACATCTATCATTAGACACTTAGGTTTGCATCTGTATCTTGACTATTGTAAATAATGCTGCCATAAACACAGGCATGCATATATCTTTTCAAATTAGTGATACTGTTTACTTCAGGTAAATTCCCAAAAGTGAGATTACTGGGTCTAATGGTAATTCTATTTTTAGTTTTTTGAGGAACCTCCATATTGGCTATACCAGTTTACATTCCTACCAACAGTGCACAAAGGTTCTCCCTATTCTCCACATCCTTGCCAACACTTGTTATTTCTTGTCTTTTTTGGTACTAGCCATTCTGACTGGTGTCAGGTGATATTGTGGTTTTGATTTGCATTTCCCTGATGGTTAGTGATGGTGAGCATTCTCTTCAAGTCTGTTGGCTGGCTGTATGTCTTCTTTGGAAAAATGTCTATTCAGGTCCTCTGCCCATTTTTTATTGGATTATTTATTTTTTTGTTTTGCTTTATATGAGTTCTTTATATATTTTGGATATTAGCCCCTTATCTGATGAATTATTTGCAACTATATATTCTCCTATTTAGCTGGCTGCCTTTTCATTTTGTTGATGGTTTTCCTTTGTTGTGTAGGAGTGTTCTTAGTTTGATGTAGTGTCAGTTGTTTACTTTTGCTTTTGTTGTCCTTGCCTGAGGAGACAGATCAAAAAAACATTGCTAATCCCAATGCCTGAGAGTTTACTGCCTATGTTTTCTTTGAGTTTTATGGTTTCAGGTCTTATATTTAGGTCTTTAATCCATTTTGAGTTTGTTTTTATATATGGTATGAGACAGTGATCCAGTTCCATTCTTTTGCATGTAACTGTCCAGTTTCTCAACACCATTTATTGAAGAGTGTCTTTTCTTCAATGTATATTCTTACCTCCTTGGTCATATATTAATTGGCTATACAGGCATGGGTTTATTTCTGGTTTCTCTATTCTGTAACTGTTTTTCTTCTGGTACCATACTGTTTTGATTACTGTAGCTTTGTAGTATAGTTTGAAACCAGATTGAGATACTTCCACCTTTGTTGTTCTTAAGATTGCTTTAGCTATTTGGGTTTTTTGTGGTTCCATACAAATTTTAAGATCAGTTGCTCTAGTTCAGTGTAAATAGCCATTGCTATTTTGATAGGGATTGCATTGAATCTGTAGATTGATTTGGATAGTACAGCCATATTAACAATATTAATTATTAATATCCATGAACATGGAATAGCTTTCCACTTCTGTGGGTCATCTTCAGTTGCTTTCATCAATGTCTTAAAGTTTTCAGAGTACAGGTCTTAACCTCCTTAGTTAAATTTATTGCCAGGTATTTTATTCTTTTTGATGCAATTGTAAATGGGATTGTTTTCTTGATTTCTCTTTCTGCTAGTTTATTGTTAGTATATAGGAACACAACAAATTTCTGTATATTGATTTTGTAGGCTGCAACTTCACTGAATTCATTTATTAGTTCTAACAGTTTTTTGGTAGGGGCTTTGTAGAGTTCCCTATATATAGTATCATATGTCATCTGCAGATAATGACAATTTTATTTCTTTCTTACCAATTTGGATGCATTTTATTTCTTTTTCTTGCCTGATTGCTGTGGCTATGACTCCCAGTACTATCTTAAATAAAAATGATGAGAGTGGGCATCCCTGATGTTACAAGAAAAGCTTTCAGCTCTTTACCATTGAGTAACATGTTCTCTGTAGGTTTGTCATATCTGGCCTTTATTATGTTGAGGTATATTTTCTCTGTCCACTTTGTTGATTTTTTTATCATGAATGGATACTGAATTTTGCCAAATGCTTTTTCAGCATCTGTTGAGATTATCATACAGTTTTTCTCCTTCCTTTTGTTTATGTGGCATATCACATTGATGGGTGGATATCAAACTATCCTTATATCCCTGGAATAAATCCCACTTGGTTGTGGCTAGTGATCCTTTTAATGTATTAATTTTTTTGAATTCAGTTTGCTAATATTTTTATGAGGATTTTTGCGTCTGTATATTCATCAGTGATATTGGTCTGTAATTTTCTTTTTTTGCCGTGTCTCTGGTTTCAGTGTCATGGTGATGCTGACCTTGTAGAATTTGGAAGCTTTCCTTTCTCTTCAGTTTTTTGGGGTAGTTTGAAAAGGATCAGTATTGACTCTTCTGTTTGGTAGAATTGACCTGTGAAGCAACTGTTCCTAGACTTCTGTTTGTCGGGAGTTTTTTGATTACCGATACAATTTCATTACTAATAATCGGTTTGCTCAGTTTTTCTATTTCTTGGAAGACCTCATGTTCCTAGGAACTCACCCATTTTAGGTTCTCCAATTTGTTGGCATATAATTTTTTGTTGTAAATTTAACAATCATTTGTATTTCTGTGCTGTCAGTTGTAACTTCTCTTTCATTTCTGACTTTGACTCCTCAAGAACCAGCTCTTAGTTTCATTGATTTTTTTTGTCTCTCTTCCCTTTATTTCTACCCTGATCTTTATTATTTCCTTCCTTTTGATAACTTTGGGCTTTGTTCTTTTTCTTCTAGGTGTAGAGTTAGACTGTTTTGAGATTTTTCTTGTTTCTTGACATAGTCCTGTATCACTATAACTTCCCTCTTAGAACTGTTCTTGCTGTGTCCTAAAGATTTTTGACTATTGGGGTCTATTTTCATTATTCTCTTAAGTAGATTTTGATTTTCTCTTTTCTTTGTTGACCGTTTGTTGTTTAATGGCATGCTCTTCCTCCACGTTTGTGGGGGTTTTTTGTTGTTTCTTTTCTTGTCATTAAGTCCCAGGTGCATACTGTTGTGGTTGAAAGGATGCTTGATATGATTTCAATCTTCTTAAAAATACTGAGGATTTTTGTGTCCTGGTGTTTGATCAGTCCTGGAGAATGTTCCATGTGCATTTGAAAATGTGTATTCTGCTGTTTCTGTATGTAATGTTCTCTACATATCTGTTAAGTCCACTGATCTAATATGTCATTGAGAACTGCTATTTCCACATTGATTTTCTGTCTGGATGATGTATTCGTTGATGTAAGTGTGGTAAAGTTCCCTACTATTTATATTGTGTTATTGTCAGTTTCTCTCTTATTTCTGTTAGTTTGCTTTATATATTCAGGTGCTCCTCTCTTGGTTGCATAGAAATTTACAATTGTTGTATCTTTTTGCTTTATTGAGCCCTTAATCATTATATAGTGTCCTTCTTTGTCTTTATTAAAGTCTTTTTTA